GCATATTTTAATTACACAGATAGTCCAGATCACATGGCTACTTTCAATATTGGCATTAATGTCTTTCATAAGGATACTTGAGAACATAAGCAACCCTATCTCCCCAAATTGTTCAATGGACAATATTCTGTTATTGTAATCTTACAATAAAGGTAGTATTAGTACTCATGGTTTTGGTTTCTTGTCTAGTCTATCTCAAAGGACTGGTATCAATCTTGCAAGCCTGAAAGATTTCTGCCCTCCCTTGCCTTTAAGAGAACTAGGAAAAGTCCCTTCTAAGACAACCTTCCCCACACCTCCCATTCCTTCTATGGGCTAATATATCTTTTGTCTGATTATTGTCTTTTGTCTCCCAAGGTTATTTTCACAGCCTTTACAAAAGGCCTTACTGGTTATTCTACCAAATATAGCCAATATGTCTATAGCATATTTCTTGACTGTTAGTTCCTTTATTGCTTATAGTCAATCCTAAAGGGCAGAAGCTACTCATTACTTCAATAATTTCAAGCTAGCAACTGTATCTATTATCATTAGTTTAGTCTTCTTAATATTCATTATGCTCCCTGACTTTCATTATTGGAATTTCCAAGTCATTTGAATTTTCGACTATCATAATCCTTACCATATTATTGAGTCATAGTAGAAGAATGCACTCTTCTGAAATCTTCTTTTCAAATATCTTCTGCCTCTTTCCCGCCAATGATTCAAAATGTATTTTAAACACAGGCTTGAGATAACAGAGTTTTGATATGGTAGAGTAGATACTTATATTTTGTCTACAGACCACTGGAATTGTAGAGCTGCCCTATTTTTGAACCCACTTCAACTCTTCTCTTTTCCTGATTTGTTGCACTGTTTGGCTCTCTTCTTTTTCTTTCTTTCTTTCCTCACAAATTTTTCTGTTCTTATCAGGAACAACTAGCCTCCTCCCCCTCTTCCTCCACCAGCCTTGTCACTTGAGCTGACATCATGGGCTGAGAGATAATGACTGACCAAAGTTACCCGCCTAGCTTCCATGCTTTAAAATGGCATTAGAACTCACAATCTCCTGATTTCTAGCCTGTTATCTTAGCCACTAGATTAAATTGGCTCTTAATGACATATGAAAACATCATCTCATACCATTTTAATATTTTTTACCAAATGTTCCTGATACTATCAGAATAGGATCAGATTTTGTACTAGAATCTGTAGAACAATTTTGAGATTTAGATTGTTATGTTAATTTAGTCTAGTATCATCAGATGAACAGCAATCTTTCTCAATTTAGTACTGTCCAAACAAGTTAAACTGCTACTCCAATTATCCACAGCTAGTATACTAGCTAGAAGATGATAAGTGCTCAAGGTAGTAGCAAACAGGCCTAAGATCAATACTTGAGTGGCATGGGGCTGGCCAGAGCTTAATAAGACTGAGATTGTACTTTACAGCCTCCTGCACCATTTCCTTCTTTGTTTTCTTTGGTATTACCAGTATATAGATGAGTGGCAGGCAAAACATGCATTTCATTGCAGGAGCTCATTTATTATTTTAGTTTTTAAAATTGTATCTTTATAAATTGTACTTAGCATTCTTAAATAATTATCCAGCACAGAGCTGACAAGCATCCCTGCCTTTAAATAATATTCCAAAGGAAGGCAGGGCCAGGTCAAAAACTACATTTAATTACATTTAAATTTAATCCATATTAGCACAAATTAAATAAATATGGTTTACAAATTCTTAGTAAATTCTCTCTTCAGTCGTATTTAAAATGCAGGCTATAGGTCAGGTTCTGAAAATTATACCCAATGCTTTTACTAGGGTTGAGCCCTGCTGATCTATTGGCAGCAGTAATAAAACATGTTCTAAAATTCACTGCAAACAGAACAGCATAGGGCTGTATAAAGTTTTAGACCTGATTCCAGAAAGATACTTGGGGGAATGCTCAAGAGGTTGCAAATTAAATTATCCATTTGTTGATTATTCTTGTAAAATGTCATAGGTCCATAGTCAATTAAGTAGTATATAAGTGAGATGAGTAGCTAAACAAATACCAGTAAAAAAAAAATTAACACCTGTCTAACCAGCTTCATCTTTTCTCAATGTTGTGTAGTGATGACACAACTGCTTCAAAGAGTTACAAACAAGTGCTACATTTGCACTGCCCTGTGGTTTAAAGCCCTTGTTCAGAAACAAATGCAAATCACGGAATAACTTTTGAACAAAATGGTGAGTTGATCTGGAATATATATATATATAGCATTAGTGGGGCAGAGAAAGGCTTTCCCCTGTAGTGACAGACACCTGGCTTTAAGAGCAATGATAAGGCATCTTGGCTGAGATGGTAGTGATATTAGCATTTTCCTATCACATACAAAGTCAGGCTATCAAAAAGGCTAAGAAAGAGGAGTAGAGAAATGCAACAGTGAAAGCAGAGGATAGTACACAAATCCTTTTGAATAAAAAGGAAATGTCTGAACTTTTTTTTTTTTAAACGTAAGCTCCATCTGGCTTGTCCTTTAGCACTCTGGGAGATTTATGCTGCCTGCTGTATTTTCCTTCCGTCCCCACCTCTGTCCTGGGCAAAACAATGTGCAGTCTGTGCAGTGAGCCAGTCCCTTTGAATCCTACCGCAATGACTTTCTTCATTTCTCATTAAATGGCTGGGAGAAAGCCAGCCGGAAGTGGACTCATCTCCAACAGGGATTCAATCGTTTCTTCTTCTATGCACATGGCGCTTCCAGGAACGTGCCTACTTTCAGCTGCCAGTGTTGTTCTCCTCTTCCTGTTTATTTGATGTGGGGATGGTGGTAGTTTTAATTTCTCAAACCCATCTATGCCTTTTGAAAAGAGAGAGTGGGGAGGGGGGGAGGAGGGGGAAAAGGTCACAAATCAGTTCTTTACACTTGAGAAATGGAGTAATAACAGGTGGCAAGATCAGAGGCAGCCAGAGCCTGGAATTTTGGTTGTCATGGAAACATGTCAGCCTGTGGAGAGATGAGCTCTGTCAGCAGTAGGGGGGGAAAAAGCACACGAGGGGAAACTCAATGCCATTTACCCTGTAGGTTCAGATTGTATGTCAGCTGTCCCTCCAAGGGATGAAGGCTGGAAAGATATGAAAATGGGGAAGCCAAATCCTGCCCACAGATTGGAACCGTTCAAAACCGGGTTCCTGCACACCTTAGCCATCAAACAAAAGCTTTTTGTTTTTTTCTTTTTGCAAAGAAAACACCCCAACCCTATTTCCCATTGTGTCGTGTGCCGTTTGGTCTTCGTGCCAACAGAAAAGGCTCTGCTGGCAGGTAGACAAGTTGCACTAGAAGCAGATAACAAATTTCACATTGCAGATGCTATTATAGAGGGTAAAAACTGCTTCCCTGTCTTTATTTGCAAGTTCTAGTGGATACTGTAGTTTCTTCATGTCATTGGTAGCAGTTTTTCTGGTTTTCTTGTGAAATGCTACCCAGAGTATTAAATTCAAAGAGTGTTATAATGCTCCGTGCTAGAGGACTCCGTGTGTGTGTGTGTGTGTGTGTGTGTGTGTGTGTGTGTGTTTCTATAGCCCTACTCCACCCCAAAACCCACCCTTAAGGAAATGTACTTTAAAGTCCTGGATAAAGGTAGAGGACATCTTCAGGAATAAGCACAGCCCAGAGACAGTTTAGCATTTATTGTCCGGCATGGGAATAGGCCCAATTGGCAAAAGACAGTTCAGGGCAGTATTAGTTTGAAACATGCGGAAGAGGCCTTCATCTTGCAATAGACAGAAAATGGCTAAAATGATGATGGACGACAATGATGAGGTTTGTGATGGAAATAGAAAGGAAAGGAAGAAGGCAAACCAGAAACGAAACTCTTGCCTTTCTCTCTGAACATTTCTAGAAGGCCTCATTTTAAAAAGTGAGGATGGTGATCCAAAGCTTCTTTTTAAATTAAAAGAATAAAACAAACTGCCACAGTTGATTTTTGAGTAGCAATTCATAGGAGCTATATAGATCAGTTTGTTCCTTATCTTTGAAAATATATGTGAAATTACTGATGGGATACTGTTTACCAGAGCCAATAATCTTTGGCCCCATAGCAGCTATATCCAACACAGCTGAGGGTCAGAAAATTTGTGATAGTGGCCAAGGATGAGGATGGAGCTGCTATGGCTTCCATCTCTCTCCCAGATGTTCTCATGAAGATAAAGGGCCATAGTGGTCAGGAAAGAATAATGGCTGTTCACTATTCTTGAATTCTGACAAAAAAAAATTGAATTGTATTCCTACTAAGTTGGTTGAACTTAGGTTATCCTTCATTCATATAGTAGTACTAAAGTAAGAATTGCCAAGCCTGCAGGCTGAGAACCATGCTGATCTTTTCAGGACCATGGAATGGATTCAGGAAAAAAAAGTGAATTAGTTCAGGACGAAGATGATATTTGGTGTAATTACCATATTAATCAAATAATTATTTAATAACATTACTAAATAACATTAATGTGATATTTTGTATTCCATTTATATGTATTGTGTAGATACTTAATACTTTTCTTCCTCAGTTGCATTAAAATTATATCTTTTGAAGCCATGCTATAGCCAAGGCTTTTGGGAAAAACAGATGGTTTTGGATTCACGTGTGGTACACTTTCATGCTAAACAATTAGATTTATTTATTTTTTCTGGCCTAGAACCCATCACAAGAAAGAAATGGTGCTCATAAGCCATGGTAAATGACTTCATATATCATACTAAGCCAAAGATAAAACACATTATGGCTCACTATTGTATAATAATAGTTTTTGTCATAATTATTACTGCTTTTGAGCTGTATTACACTTTAAAACTTAACTGAGATCCAACTACTTTAATTTCTTTTGGAGAGCCAAAGGATCAAAGCCCAACTTTGATCCTTTGGCTTTGGCCAGTTTAAATTTTCAATTGATAAATACACTGTACAAATACAACTAAGTTAATAAGAACAAAAAATACACATGGAATTTCTCTCAGTTTAAAATATCATACTTCTACCTACAGCCCAAAAAGGACCAGATGGGGCCATCATTTCCAATAACTACTGTGATTTCTGCCTTGGAGGATCTAATATGAATAAAAAAAGTGGACGACCAGAGGAGCTTGTTTCATGTTCGGACTGTGGGCGTTCTGGTAGGTGATATGTTATTGCAGCTATCTGTGAGCATTAAGCAACAACAACACTCTTTTCATATATTTATGTTTATACAGATAAGATTAAGGGATTTTTGAGTGGATTATGTTTTACAATATATGATTTAATGCATACTTTAAAACTAATGGAAAACTGCAAAAGTGGAAAGTCTTGTAGAAAGACATTTGTTCCCATTTAAATGAAGACAAGATTAAAGGAGAGTTTTTCTCTTCACACGTTACATTTGGTATTCAATAATGTGCCACTCAAATTTTCTACAGCCTGGATTATGATCAATGCAATTGGTCATTCTTTTTGTCTCTGTCTCTCTCTGTCTTTTTCTTTCTCATACTTGCACACAAACAAGCACACCTCAGATTATGGGGTAAGGTTGAAGATGACTGTCTAATATATTTTTTTTTTTAGAATGTAACTTTTAGGGAGTTTTTGATTTCTCCATTTAATATATATGTTTGTATATGTATTTATGAGTGTGTGTTTTATATAAATTACTTGCTCCATCATAAATACTTTTTATTCTTTAGAGGTTGTGTTTGAATATTTTTATTTATTTATTAGAATTAGAATTTATCCCAACTTATAACTTTATGAGTAAGTTGAATATTATTTTAACAAAGAAAAAAGCTGAAGTTTGTAAAAGCATTGACTATATGTTTTAAAACTCATTAAAAAAACACTTTAAGGCTTAAATTAAAAACACATTTTTTGAAAAAGTATACATGTAACCCTTCTGTCACAAGGTTTTTATTTCTTATTGTATTTCTTAAGTTTCCAGAGAAGTTATATATGACAGAAACTATTTTTTGTGTGAAATATGTATATGGATGGGGATAATAATGCAAGTGTATGCACTGCATATACACAATATAAAATTGACTTTGTTGTTTCTCCTTCTGAAAATTGTTAACTTGAGTCTATTGTCAAAACAATGCCAAAGCTTTTTTAAAAAAAATTATCAGAAATCCTTCAGTAATTTCCCTTGATTCACTAAATAAACATTGCCAGCAGCAGAATGGTTTTGTATTTTTCTGGAGCTTCATACTTATTAAAGGGACAACAAAGAATTGTGTAGCACTTTAAAGAATCAGCTTCATAAAATTAGTTCAACCTTAGTCACCCAGTCTTTTGGAATGAGTGACCATAATAAATTTAATAAAATTAAAGCTGAATAAACTTATCCTGGGTAACCAAATTGTGTGTATGGATCACACATGCATATATGGACATATAACTATAAAAACATGGCTACAGAATCCATTTTCAGTCACAAAATGCAAGCAAGGGATTTCTATGTTTTACATGGCCACTAACACGACTGGGCAGGGGAAACCTTTACCTTTTATCCCTGACCTTATATACGTGTTTCTTGTTCTCCACCAGAATAAATCACATGACATATTCTCTAGCTACACTGATTTCAGGATTTTGGCTGCAATATTATTTATCTGCTTATTTAACAGCCTTTATACTCTGCTGCAATCAATTAAATTCTCAGCAAATTACTGATTTCTATCAGGCCATCCTTTCTGATTTCTATCAGGCCACATAGCCCATTCAGGTGGAAAAATAGACAAAACACAACAATATTGGAGACAGATAATGTCAGATTAATCCTAGAGTGGGAAAAAAAGCCTAAACATCAGATGTTCCAATTAGCATAATTTAAATGATCAATTATGTAAAGCCCTACTTGAACAATGTTACTTTTGCTTGAACAGTAGGCCTGTCCTTGAGCATTGTGGGATTTCCCTCATCTGAAAGAACTATTGGTATACAAAAACAGGCTGCTGATCAGACATAGAAACCAAAGGACAAAAAACTTGCAAATCTGAGACTCTGTCAACCCAACCATCAGTTTTATTCATGCATATATTTACAGAATGGTATTGTAAGATCTACAATTCCTCAATATGTGTTATGCTTGCATAAAAACCTGGCAAAGAGACATTCTGGTTCTGAGTAAAGATCCATCTAATCTAGTACTCTAGCACACCACAATAGCCAAACAGATGCAAATGGAAAGCCCCAAACTAGGATGTTAGTGTAATAAATCCCTCAAATGTCAGTCTAATATAATATAGATATATTTTTGGTATCCATTGACACTGTGATACTATATAAACATAAGTAGTATTTACTGATATAGATGGCTGTTCCACAGTACTATCTGCTATCTAATAGAATAAAAAGGTATATATATGTACAAAAGGCAAAATTGCAGTGCATGTAAAAAAAGGCAGAAATTTGTGCACAAAAGAAATATTGACTTTTTTGACCCCTTGCTATGGACATCCTTCACATGACATCATTCTGAGGATTTTGTGGGTGTTAGGGAGAGTATAGTAACCATATACTGGCAGCCAATAAAAGGAATATGGTACTATCTTTGCTGCTGCCAGCATAAAAAGCAGTGGCAATAATGTAAAAAAAAAAATGAAGTGAATGGTTTTAGTTTCATGTTGGTCCTGAAAGTTTTTTTAAAAAATGGGTTTTGTGCTGTGTCACATAAACATATCCCTTTTGTTCCATGGCCAGTTGACTTCAATATTTAGAGGGCTCTTCCCTCTATTTCTTTATATCTATATCCATATATCTGTGTGATACATGCATTCATCTTAGGAAAGTTCATGAAAGCTTGGGTCACTTTATCTTTAAAATATCACAAGATGTTTTAATGTGCTACACCAGGAAAGCATAAATTCCTTCTGTATATTTTTTTTTATTGAGAAAAATTAATACTGACCATATTCATTGTCTGTGAACCACCACCCTGAGGCAGAATTTTCAATATACTTTACTTCTCATGCTTACTTTTATATAAAAAAGTTTTTTTTTATCTTCTTGTTTTCCTGTTTGTAATCCATCTTCAAAATATGCCATAGCAATCTGATTTTATATATGGCTTTCTAATGATAGAGTTTAAGGAATATATAATTATACTATTAATATAGAGTTAAGGAATGTATTCTGTAACATAATGTTTCTGATATATATTAAAAATTATATACTGTATTAGATTTTTCCTCCTCTCTTTCACTCCTGCTTTGAAATGTTTATTTCTTTTCTTATATTCATAAGATATTTTTACAAAGACTTTTATTGCAATATGTATTTATTGTTAAAAGTATTTTCCATTTTAATTTGCAAAGAAGTCACACCGCTTAGGAGAACTGGTACAGAAAGAGAACACAATGAGGTTATTTTAAAAAAATATATATGCAGAACTTACGAAATGGGTTATTATGCTAAAATAGAGTGGTTGATATCAAATGAAAGATAATCATTGTACCCTGCTCCTTTAATGGATACACAATATAAACTCTGGGCTCAAGATAAAATTACTCATAATTACAAAAATATTTTCTGTGTGTTTCAAAAGAGAGGAAAACAGGGTTAACCCTTTTGCTGCCTTAGATATGGGGCATTTGGAGTGGTATGAATTTTTTTTAAAAAAATATATCAGTTGTTTATAATTTCCCTACTACTCATGTTTTGTTTTTATCGCTTTGCATTATTGTCCTGAATATATGTGTTTGTGTGCATGTGTGCATGTATACACAGGCATATATACATATATATTTATGACTGAAACAACTCTTTTATCTGAAATTTCTAATCATGATTAAAGTAATGTTAATGAAATAAATCGTGATGCCTGTTACTTAACCCATGTGCTGATATATTCATCATACATGTCAGCTCATTTGGGAAGAGAAAGCAGGAAGGACGAAGCGGCTGCAGCATATCCCACGGAGGACTTGTTCGGTTCCACCTCGGAAAGCGACACCTCAACTTTTCATGGTTTTGATGAGGATGATTCAGAAGAGCCTGTCTCAAACTGGAGCAGCAGCTCCCACTCTGCAAAGAAAAAGGGCAGTTGCTAAAATAACTAAAGCACACAAACTCTATGAATGACATTTTCTGCCCTTTCTGCTACTCTTAACTCTTACTGTTGTTACTGCGTGTTTTTTTTAGAGCCACCCGTTTTCACTTTGGGGCGAATACACTGAAAGCACAACAAACTAATTTTTTTTTAAAAAGAAAACTCCTCTGAACTCTTTTTTTGGACAAGTTTATTTTCAATATTTCCTTAACAGCGCAAATGTGAAATGTGGATATCCTTTTTTTAAAGTAATAAGTAAACAGTTAAATAAAAGAGCGCTAATTTTCTCAGCTTTTAAGATATATATAGATAAAGATATAGATATTATACACAGGAACAACACAAAATCAGAAGGGTTGGACATCAGGAGGTACCTATCTCAAATAGTGTTTTAAATATTTATTTCTATATTCTATATATTATTAGAAGAAAGACTTTTGAGATTAAGGCAAAAAAAAAAAAGCATGAAATCTATGCGGTAATCTAATTATTAAAAAAGAGAAACAATGATAGTTTGAATAGTTCAAGATGAAAAGGAAATCCAAATGTTTGCAAGTGTGAATTTTGCACTGCAAAAATATTGCATTTATTGTAGCACACTGGATTTTTTTTCCTATTCCCCTTTTGTACTACTGCTATGTTCACCTTTAAGAATATACCAAACACAAGGACGATTGACAAAATCACAAACACAAATTTCCTGCGATTTTCATTTGGACACATTTTTATGTCTTCATCTATCCAAGCTTGGCATCTTTTTACCAGATACTGCTTTTTGGATCAGTTTTGTTTGTTCTTTCCTTCACCATTTTAGAAACAACTTTCTGAGCACATCTGTGGAATACATCCGTTAATTCTATGGATGAAATAAATAATGTGAATCTTGAAAGAAATGAAAAGAAAAAAATATACCTCATGTTCCTTATTTTATTTTTTAAAAATAATATTAAAAACCCATTTAGTCTTATTTTTGATATTTTTCTTGAAATAAACCAAAGCAATACTCACTAATTTTCAAAGGGCAGCAGAGAATACCGAAACTGATTTGCTATTCCAGCAACATAAATTGAACAGCAGGATTAAAAAGGTAAGTTG